CCCAGGTTCAATGGGACAACCTACTTGTAGGATAAAGCGAGGTCACTGCGGGGGCGGTACCGGAAATGATGAGGTTAGCATATAAATATGCTTTAATGATTCTTAACCAATAGACACGGTGGTCTAAGGGGAGTAATCGGGATACTCTTAAAGAATCACCTATGTAAGAGTGAAGTGTGGTCGCTTCAAACGGAGGATCTTGGGCTTAATCCTCTAAACACTCTCGCAGAACCAGGCGCGTGTCCCACGACCAAAATGGGCACAACCATGAGAACAGAACGGCGTTTGGTTGGAATCTGTGTATGGTATACTATCGTTTACACAAGCGGCAGTACAGTTCAAAGACATCGCGTTCTACTGAACAGCCAGTAAAGAAGGTATACTTTACAAAGGACAGGTTCAAAAGTGGAGACACTTACCTGTTCTTTGCAGGTTTCTAATCATGGGATGTTGTCGACCCCAAATCAATTTTTCATTCATGTGGGGGATTGTTGGAATTTTTGGCATTTTAATTGGCATTAAATGGACCAATTTGGGTATATTTTTCAATAGGTCCACTAACGGTTTTAACCGTTTATTAATGGACGTGTGTTCTCTTAAATGAGATAAATGTTTTGACAATTTATACGCCAAAAATGGTAGAGGGTGAATGAGAAATTGATTCTCAGAGTTAACCCGTTAATAAAAGAATATGGTGAGGATTGCAATTTTTGCAATTTTACTGAACCAATCTTCTTTTATTAATTTTATGTATTGTTTAAAATTAGTCCATTTTTACAGAGTTAACTGGCCATTAATCTCCAATTATTCGAGACAAATTTTAAACGGAGCGTAGCATAACGGACGTGTTAATGGCTAATTAATCACCATTAACACACCACTAATGCCATGATTAATTCAATGGGTTAATTGTGTAGGAGTTACAACTTTTTAAACTCCTTTATTATTAAAATCAAGGGCTCTCTCATTTTGTTTGGTGTGTGCCTTGCGTGAGGAAGAGAGGAAAAAAAAGAGAAAACACTTTATTATTTTCTTTTAGAGAGAGCTCTTGTTTTTCCGGCCAATTTTTCCGGCAACCCCTTTAAAGTTTTTGGTCGTCAACGTTCCTACGTTGTTCTTGTTCGTTGGTGTGTGGTTGGTCCGTACAATCTCCACACACGATAGCGGTTTTATCCTGGGAGGAGAGTGCCCACGTTTTCCGGTACGGTAGGCGGGCACTACTACCTTAAGGACAGCTCCGGCGACTCCGCTATCCTTCCACGGTGTTGTGTTTTTGCAGGTTCAGTTCATAAAGACCTCGCTGCATTCAGTCCTAGTGCATAATGTCCTCGCAGCCCAGTGCATAATGTCCTCGCAGCCCTGTGCATAACGTCCTTTGCTTGCTGTCCAGTGCTTAAAGACCTCGCTGCCCAGTTCTTAAAGACATCGCTGTCCAGTGCTTAACGTCCTCACTGTCCAGTCCTTAATGTCCTCGTACAACAAGGCCGTTTGAAGATATAGCAATTTTTCTCAACTGTGTTTATTTTGTACTATTCTGAATAAATTATAAATTCAGAATTTTATTTATTTTTATTACCGGGGCCATTCATCTTCCCCGTCCGTTGTAATCCGTACAAAAATTGTAACATGTCATGCACGTGCAAAGCAGCTCATATGCATCTATTAAACATCATAATTCAGCACATATGCATCGGATGAACTCAAAAATCAGATTGAACATCAAGAAAAAATTGCAGATTTTTTCTTATTTCAACACCTATAAGCTGTAAAAAGTGTAAAATTTGCATTTTGCACTAAAAAAATCAGCTTACAAGTCCAAAAATAACTTTTCAAAGTGCAGAATTTTTCATTAGTATCCAAAAATCAGCTGTAAACAATGTGCATGCCTCAATTCTTAGACCATTTTTAACACCCAATCCTTAGGAAACCGAAAACTCACAACAACGCAACCTTTAGGTGTTTGAAATTGTTGTTTTGGATCAGGATTTTGCACATAAATGATGCAGATTTTTCCCAGTGAAGCTCAAGAATCAGATTTGAGTGTGTAGGTTATTCACTTTTGCAAGCAAAATTATGACTTATAGTGCAGATTCTCATTGTGCAAACTGTAATATCAGAAACCAAACTTTGAACACAAAAAGGGTAAGGTAAACTAAAGCTTAAACCTGGGACAGCTGGAACTACCGATTTTGATCAGATTTCTCACCTGTTTGTGCAGATTTTTACTCTAAAGGGGAATACTTCTACCTATAACTAAATAGCCCTTGCATTTTCACTCAAATAAATGGTTAGAAGCATACATGGAGCAAAAATAGACCATTAAACAAGCATCAAAAACAGCAATATTTCTGAACTCCTGATGATGAAGTTTTTTCCATTTTTCTGATTTTTTTTCTTCTGTTTTTATGATTTTTTTTTGTTTGTGTTTTTATCAATGTTGGATATTACAGCGGGAAAAATAAAAAAAATAAAATAATCCGAACTTATAAAACGTTCAGATTTTACAACCAAAGAAAAAAAATGAAAATAAACTTGAAGTCTTCGGAGATGCTTGAACGGACGCAGGAGCACGAACGGACGGGCGCTTGAATGGCTAACAGAGACGTCGGATGAAGAAAAGAAGAACGCCGGAGTAGAAGGGAAAGGAAAGCAGAGTCGCCAGAGCTTTCCTTAAGGTAGTATTGCCCGCCTCCCGCACTGGCAAACGTGGGCAATCTCCTCCTAGGATAAAACCGCTACGTGCTAAGTCTAGAGCGGTAGAACAGAGCACCGGCGAACGAGAACGACAGGAAGTTATCGCCGGAGAAGATGATCGGAGATTTGGAGATCGTCAGAAAGTTTGTATAACGCAGTGAGAGAGATTGTTTCGAGTGTCTTCTCTCTGCAACCAACCCCTCCTTTTATAGGAGGGGAGTTGGTTCTTCGCTTGGACTGGACGGAAATTACGAGGGGACGAGTGTCCCTTCGGCCTCAAGTGTGCATGCATGCTTCATTACAACGTACACTTCGTTATTAACGAAGTGTACACGCACGTTTCGTTTTGGTCTCGTAAAAATTTAGCCACGCCGCAGGCGCGCCCCGCCCCGCCCCGCCGCGACGCGCGCGTGCCGAGCCGGACGGACGGCGGCGGGCGCGCGAGGAGTTCCTCTTCTTGTTCCTTTCATAAGCTCAATTCAATTCCTAAGCTTAAATATGAGAATACGAAAGGTTTAGAAACCGGTGTGGGACAAAGGCATTTACTCTACCTTAGTGTTCAACTTTGAGAATTAATTTCTCATTCACCCGAGCACCGTTCATGACGTGTCATATATCAAGACGTTCGTCTTACTTACGAGATTAATCGTCCATAATTATTTTGGAAAAATTATTTTGTGGACCCAACCGAATTTATGTCCGAAAATGTCCAATTACTTTAAAATTTCCAACAATCCCCCACATGAATGAAAAATTAATTCATGTAACTCGCAATAACTCTGAAGTTGAAACCTGCAAGAGTAGGTAGGTTTTATGCCTTTGAACCTACTCCTTGTAAAGTATACCTTCTCTACTGGCTGTTCAGTAGAACGTGATGTCTTTGAACTGTACTGCCGTTTATGTAAACGACGATATACAATACACAAGTTTCAACCAAGCATCATTCCGCTCTCATGGGTGTGCCCATTATGGTCGTGGAACACGCATCTGGTTCTGCGAGAGTGTCAGACAGGATCAGCCCGAAATCCTTCTGTTGAAGCGACCACACTTCACTCTTACATAGGTGATTCTTCTAAGAGTATCCCGATTACTCCACTTGGACCTCGTTGTCCATAGTTCAAGAATCATTAAAGCGTCATGCTAACCTCATCGTTTTCGGGAGTCACTATTGTTAGACAAAAGTGCAACTCTAGAGGGGGGGTGAATAGAGTTGTTCTCAAGAATGTACGTTTTTCGTAAAAATTATCGCAGGAAAAAGTAAGGAGAGTAAGGGAAAGAAGAACACCGGGATTTATACTGGTTCACCACCTCGTGGCTAGTCCAGTCCTTCGAGAGACTCTCTCGAAAGTCCTACTATTCTTCAAGCTTCAACGGGTGCTTGAAAAACCGGTACAACTTGAGAACTTGAATCACACAAGCCTCACTTTCTTACAACAACAAGACTTGAGTCACACAAGTCTTAAGAACAACACTCAAATGAAATTGAGTTTACAACACAAGAATGAAAGCTCACACAATTGAGCAAAGTAGTGTTGAAAGATTTAAGCTCTATGGATGACAACTTCTATAGCACTCAAAGAAAAAATATTTCTAACTCTCAAAAA